AAAAAGGAACTACTTAGGGGCCCCTGGGTGAACCCTAAACCTCAAGCCGTACGACACCCGAGGAGCCTCGTCCGAGAGCTGGCGCTGTCTGGGCGGAGGATGGCGGCCGCCGAGGCCCTGGAGGGGTTTAGGGCTTTTTTTGGTGTTTAGGGTTTAGGGGTTTAGGGGTTAGGGGTTTAGGGTTTAGGGTTTAGGGGTTTAGGGTTTAGGGGTTTTGGGTTTTTTAGCGTTTAGGTTTTAGGGGTTTAGGGTTTAGGGTTTAGGGGTTTAGGGGTTTAGGGGTTTAGAGGTTTTAGGGTTTAGAGTTTAGGGTTTAGGGTTTAGGGGGGTTTAGGGTTTTTTAGGGTTTAGGGTTTAGGGTTTAGGGTTGAGGCAACCACCCGAAACCCCAGCCCCAAACCCCTGAACCCTAAACCCCTGAACCCCTTAATCCCTAACCCCCAAACCCTAAACCATGCAGCATCACACATACATACCTACCTACCTACCTACCTACCTACATACATACATACATACATACATACATACATGTTTGGCCCTAAACTATCTACCCCACTATGGCCGCAGTAGAAATTACAGTTGGACATGGACCCTTAAAGGGTTAGTGAAGCTTTGCAGTTGGGCAGTCAACAGCACAGCCGGTTTCGGTTTAGGGGTTTAGGGTTTAGCATACAAAGGAAAGAAACAAGCTCTACAGCCTCATCGTCATGTTTCATTATGAAAGCCCCTACATTAGCAAAGCCACTGGCCGTAGTCAGCCGCCTTCACTCCCAGCGCGTGCTAAGTGCAGGGGGTGGTGGTACAAGCTCAGAACAGCCTGAATTCGTCGAATTTGAAGTAGGTTTATAGTGTTTAGAGTTTAGGGTTCAGGGTTTAGGGTTTAGGGTGAGTTTGCGACATAGAGACTTTCGTTAGACCTAAGGTTGCTTGGAGTTGTCGCCCTTTCAACGCCATGGCGAAAGTGATGGCTCGAGCGCGATAGGCAGAGGGCTCTGTCGCACAGCCTTCCTTTGCGTGCAGGGCAAACCATGACAACAGATGAGCTGCGCGCAGAGATCGAAGCTACCAAAACACGAGTGCAAGAGGCACTTGCAAGACGGCGAGAACTCGAAGCGGCGACGGAACAAGCCCTCGAGCGGCAAAGGCTGCGCCGAGAGCTGGAACAGCTGAGGCTGGTTCTCGATACCGAGCTGATGGTCAATGTAGATGAAGAGCAGTTCAGAAGAGGCGTCGACGAGGACATAGATTTCCCACAAGGCCTGTCTGTCGGTGTCCCAGTAACAGTTGCTCCCCATGAATGCAATATGTGTGCATTCGGTGAGGAGGTTACGAGTTTCGGCAGCAAGGTTGCCAAAGGCGAGTACACATGGAAGCTTACTGAAATGTCTTGGCTCCGATCTGCCGTTGGATGCGTATCGTGGGGCTTTGTTCTGTCTGAGTGGTTTCAGGTGGGCGCGTGCAAGTGTCGGTTTTTCTACCATCCTGACGGAGGCTTTGTCCAATATGAAGGTGAAAGGGTACAAGATAAGCGTGGTTCAATTGCCATAATAGCACCACCGGGAGTGGAAAGTTTCGTGCTTCGCTATAGCATTTATGCCAAAAATCGTGGCGGAGACTTCGTGCAATGGGGCAAGACGCACGACGAATAAAAATACTGCTGGTGTTGCCAATCATTTGGACCGGATGTGCATCTACAGAGCTCGCCTCCGGCAGCAAGGGGACTATTCGGCCTGTCACATGATGAGCTCATGCAGTCGGAGTGGGTCCACGACGACGTTTTGACTTTGAAGTTCGTTTTGGAAGTCCGTCCATGTCGAGAGTATTCGTCACAGGTTGTTGCCCGAGAGGTTGTCGGCGTTCCAGAACCGACCCTGTGTCGGGACACACAGACTCTACTCGAGCAATCCAGTTGCAGCGATGTGGAGTTCAGGCTGCAGGGTGAGGTGATCCACGCGCACTCCCAAGTTCTCTGTGCGAGATCGGAGGTGCTCAAGAAGCAGCTGAACTCAGGCATGCAGGAGGCCAAGTCCAAGGTCATAATGATCGAAGACTGCGGAGCGGCCACCTTCAAAGCCTTCTTAAAATTCCTCTACACTGACGAGCTGCCCGCCTTCGATGACCTTGCAGCAGAGCCACCAAGTCCGGCCTTGAAGCAAGACGGCAGTCGGCACACTTCACAGATGGAGGCACTCTGGGCCGTCAGTCACAAGTACCAGGTGGGCAGACCCCCACACACACACACAAACACTTCTCCCTCCCTCTCTCCCTGTCTTATGTAATGATGTGGATATATATATATATATACATACACATACATATACATATGTGTAGATACATATATATATATATGTATGTACTTATGTGGGTAGGTTGTTAGGTCGGTATGTACTACGTCTGTATGTCTGTCTGTCTGCCTGCCTGCCTGCCTGCCTGCCTGGCTGTCTGTCTGTATGTATGTATGTATGTATGTATGTATGTGTGCGTGGATGTATACATGCATGTATATGTAGGCAGGTGATAGCGCTTCTGACAGTGCACGGCGAGTCGGAGTGATGATGACAGCCATTTTTAGTTGCCATACCCATATTAATTTGTCAATTAAGGTATTGACCTTGACAAGGTACACATGAAGCGTGGATAACATGATCACGGAGAGTAGGCCTCGGATATAAATCTGAGCTATGAAGTCACGAAGCTTTCATTGTCTTATCGGCTGCGATGTTGCTACTTGTCAGTTCATACTTCGCGGTCTCGCATTGTCCGTGCACATGTAGAAGTAATGAAGGCATGCAGCATGTAGGTCGTTAGCAGTGGCCATCTCAAATCGCAGAAGCAAGGCTGCAGCATGTCGGCACATCCAGGCCCCACGTTTTTTTTGTTCGCGCAGTTTCGTGGCATATCCCTCGCACGAATTCGAAGCATGTTTGGTTTTCGAAACTCTAAACCCTAAACCCTAAACTCTGTGATGTTCAGTCTGGGGGCATTCTTGGTGGGACCCTGGCATTGGTGCTGGACCCATGTCCAGGGACCGGCGGGGCCGAGTTGATGGAGTTTCTCGGTATTGTTACACTTTCGGATATTAAGCTGGAAACAGAAGGAAGCGGTCCGGAACGCTTCTCGATGTCGTCTTCATGCCTTCATATCAAGCTTCAGAATCCAACCGTGCCTCTCCTATCTTGATGAACTGTGTCGTTGGATTTTGCCAACCAGTCCAGTCGATTTGGTGGCGTTGATGAGATCAGGCGCCGATTGAAAAGCACCCATGCTTACGTCACCGAAATGAAGCATTCAAAACCACAGGATTGAGTATAGCAGTGGGTTGTGTTTTCAAAGACTCAGAGACATAGTGCGTGATTACGGGTCATCTCATGGGTTGCTCAAACTTGCTGTGCAAACTCCTGACAACCATCCAGGTGGAACGGCTTCAACGCTGGTGCGAAGCACAGCTCTGCAAACAGCTCAGCGCAGAACAGGTCTGCAGCATCCTTCGCCAAGCACATGTTTTCGAGGCCACGCAGCTCGAGAAGGCTTGCCTATCCTACATCAAAGACAACGCTGCAGAGGTGCTCAAGCTTCAGGCCTATGCTGACCTTATCAGCAAATGGCCTGAGGTTGCATTGAAGATTCATCTGTTTTCAACTGGTGTGTCAGACGGCGAGGCAGCTGCAATCGTGCAGGCACGCAAGGTACGCAGGTTGGAGGATGGGACGGAGAAGACTTCATAGAGAACTGATGCAAGCCTATGGCGGTGGTTATGAGGGCTAGGTCAGTTCTCGCCTCCGCAGTAGCTGCATGCAGGCTTTTGAAAGCTAGGTGGCCTCTAATACAGACAGCTGTCTCGGCATCGCCATCCGGCCGTCTCAAAGATCACCAGGTTTTGGCTACATCTCGAGGGTCTGCTTGAGTTTGGGCCGACGACGGCAATTTGGGAAAGGGGAGTCCAGGAAGAAGTGTCCAAAGTCCTAACTCCCGAACCTTACCAAGCAGTATCGGATCCTTAGAGCAAGCAGCAGATTCACCATCGAAAAGCAAGCAAGCCTAGTCAACTCGTGATTAATTACGTAAGAGTTGCAGCGCACCCCGCCGGCCCGAATCCGCTCCTCCCAGACAGCGAAAGTTTAGGGCTTAGGGTTTCGGGGTTTAGGGTTTAGGGTTCAGGGATTTAGTCAGCAACCCGCGGGACTTCGGGCCGTTCTTCATGTCCTGCTAGGCTCAGAAGCCCTAAACCGGTTTAGGGTTTTGGCAGATGGTCCATCCTGGGCAGCCGTAAACGCCAACTGACAACTGGGTTTGGGGTTCGGGGACTCCTTGCCCCAACCGTAGACCCTAAATCCTAAAACCCTTGCAGACCCTAAGCCCTGAGCCCTGCAACTAAACACTGAGCCCGGTACTGAAGCCTCGACGTTAAGTCGAACTTACGAGTTCGTATCTGTTTTTCGCGTGCGTGTGTTTGTGTTTTGGAAGAGGGACCAGGCGGAAAACGAGTCCAAAGCGCCCATTGTGACTCATAGATTGGTAGACTACATGCCCTTGTCCGACGAGTCCACCCCGAACCCGACAAGCCACTGTTCTGTGTTGAAACGCCAAAAACTTAAAAACTCAGAGCCACTACAGAACCCGAAACCCACACCCTAAGACTCCTGATCCCTGAACCCTAAACCCCTACCCCTAAACCCTAAACCCTAATAAAAAAAAACCTAAACCCCTTAAAGCCAAGCCCCAGGACAGCTAAACCAAACCGGCATCTATTTTCCCGACACTTCTGTCTTGCAACCTGGGATCTTGTTGGGGGGCTGCACAGGATTTGGGCGGGGTCTTCGTAACGGCTTCATAGGTTTTTGTCCAAGGCCTCGCGAACCAAAAAAAAGTGGAAAAGACTCTGAAACCCCAAAACCCCCAAACCGAAGTCCTGAAACCCTGAGCCCTAAGCCCTAGAAACCTCCTAAACCCTGAACCCTAAACCCTAAACCCGAAACCCTAAGCCACCAAAAAAAACACACCCAAGAGCCTGCTGCTTCGAAAGACTGGGTCGGGTCACTGCAGCTGAGATCTCCGCACGGAGGGCTTAGAGTTTGAGGATTTAGGGCAAATTTAGGGTTTGGGTTTGGGGCTTAGGGTTGGCATAGGATTTCCGGGCTTTTGGGTTTGGGTTAAAAGTGTATATTCTTGGTTTTAGGGTTTAGGCTTTGGGTTTGGGGTTCAGGGTTTAGGCACTTTGAGTTTGGAAGAGTAGTGATCGTAAGTTGGTAGATATGAGTAAGATCTCTAAACCCTAAACCCTAAACTAGGTAGGCCTTTGGGATATTTTATATTTTCCCTTACTGGGCTTAAGAGGACCCTATTTACTAATATTTTTCAGAGGCTTTAAGCGGCCAACGAGCTAAAGGTTGAGACCTCAAGGAAACTTTGCCCCGAGGCTTTGCAGCAGGGCTTGGTTTCACGCGTCTGCGCCACCAAAGAGACCATGCTGGCGGAGGCCCCTTCGGCAGCGGTGCATGTGAGGTTTGTTTCTTGGGAGTTCTGGGCACTGAACCCTAAACCCTAAATTAAACCCTAAACCCCTAAACCCCAAAGCCCCAAATATTTAAACCGTACAGTGACCCTAAACCGAAGCTTTGGGCTTTCAGGGCGATGGCACTTGAGGCGTGCAGCGCTCAGGAGTTGCTTCCAGGATGAAAGCTGTCGGACCTTAGGTCCCCTCGGGTTTAGGGTTCAGGGCTTAGGGCTTAGGGCTTAGGGTTTAGGGCTGAGGGTTTAGGGCTTAGGGCCTAGGGCTTAGGGCTTAGGGTTTAGGGCTTAGAGTTTAGGGTTTAGGGCTTTGGGCTTAGAGTTTAGGGTTTGTTTACCCTCTAGAGGTCTGAGGAATTGGTACTACGGTTGATGATATAACTCCTGCACTACCCATAATAAGGAATATACCATAATTCCCATAGTTTAGGGTCCTTAAGGTAATGCAGGATTTATACCATCAGCCGTAGTATCCCATCATCATAGTCCCTGTAATATCGTAACGTTACAGCATATGCGCTAACCCTACTTCGAACGGTGAAGATCCCTAAACTCCTAGCGAAAGTCCTCGCCAGGGCTTGGAGCTAGCGAAGACCATCGCGGCCAAAAGCCCTGTGGCAACTTTGGGTGTGAAACAGCTGCTTGGACCTGGACAGCTCAAAATCCCTTGGGATTCAGATAAGACAACCCTAACAGATCTTCTAAGGGGCATTGGGCCATTGGGTTCTTCAAAACGCAGGTTCTCGCTAAGGGGTTTCAAGTTACTGTAATAAGTGCAGCAGGTTTAGTGTTCTGCTTCCCCATACATGTAACGGTGTAGCTTAAACCCTAAACCCGTGGTACAATTTGGTGTAACTTCGCCCAATGGCAAAAAAGGAACTACTTTGGAGCCTATGGGTACTGAGAAAGCTAAAACCTTACCGCATTAGGTCTCCTGATGAGGAGTTCTCTACATAAGTCCTTAAATAGGGGAGGTTATTTGGGTTGAAGATAGGATGTAGGATTTCGGGTTTCGGGTTTTAGGCTTGGGCTTTAGGGTTCAAGACTCGCAAGGGCCAGAGTCCCACACTTGTAAGCCTCGAAAGGAGCTCCGAGAGACGTTATTTTGCGTTCGCCCTGAGGAGGAGTCGGGGTTAGGGTTTAGGGGTTGCAGGGTTTATAGAGTTTAGGGGTTTCAAGGCTTAAAGAAGGGGAGCTACTGTTAGGATCGTGCAAGATGGGTTTAGAGTGAAGTGCAAGGTATGTGGGGCTCCCCAGGAGCATTGGTGAGTGCACTTTCCGGGGCTTAGTAGCCTCCGTAAAAGCCTAGGCCCCCAACCAAACCCTCAAGCTCAGTTCCCCAACCCCTTAAATTAAAAGCCTCTGCAACCGCGAACTCTTAAATGCAAAATGGAATAGACAGACCTGAGCCTAAACCCTAAACCCTAACC